TGACCAAAAACAACAAAAAAGAAAGGAACAAAAGAAGGAAGGAAGGAAGGAAGGAAGGCAGGAAGGCAGGAAGGAAGGAAGGAAGGAAGGAAGGCAGGAAGGAAGGAAGGAAGGAAGGAAGAAAGGAGGGAAGGAAGGAAGGAAGGAAGGAAGGAAGGAAGGAAGGAAGAAAGGAGGGAAGGAAGGAAGGAAGGAAGGAAGGAAGGAAGGAAGGAAGGAAGGAAGGAAGGAAGGAAGGGAGGGAGGAAGGCAGGAAGGAAGGCAGGCAGGCAGGCGGTGAACTGTACGACTTGTGGGTGGGGTGGGAAGGAAGAACTGGGTAAGGGAAGGGGTGACATTGTCCAAAAAGAAATGGACTGTTCACCTGGCTTACGTAACTGCTACCCCTCTGTATATCGCCTTTATAATGACACTTTTTTTAATTTATATTTTTAAATTTTTATTTTTTTGTCCATCGTGGGGCTTGAACTCTGGGCCTGGGCGCTGTCCTTGCGCTCTTCAGCTCAAGGCGAGCGCTCTTCTACCACTTGAGCCACAGCCCCACTTCCAATTTTTTTTTTTTTTTTTGGGTCCGGTCGTGGGGCCTGAACTCTGGGCCTGGGCGCTGTCCCTCAGCTCTTCAGCTCAAGGCTAGCGCTCTACCACTGAGCCACAGCACCATTTCCAGCTTTTTTTCTTTTTGCTTATGTGGTGCTGAGGAATCAAACCCAGGGCCTCAGGCATGCAAGGCAAGCGCTCTACCACTGAGCCACCTTCCCAGCCCCACCACTTCCAATTTTCTAGTGGTTTATTGGAGATAAGAGTCTCATGGGGTTTCCTGCCCAGGCTGCGATCTTCAGATCTCAGCCTCCTGAGTAGCTAGGATGACAGGCATGAGCCACTGGTGCCTGGCAACCTGAGCTTCTTTTGCTCAAGGCTAGCACTCTACCATTTGAGCCACAGTGTCACTTTCAGCTTTTTCTGTGTATAAGGGGCTGAGATCTGAGGATCATGGTTCAAAGCCAACTGGGCAGGAAAGTCTGTAACTCTTTTTTTTTTTTTGGTTGGCCGTGGGGCTTGAACTCTGGGCCTGGGCGCTGTCCCTCAGCTCTTCAGCTCAAGGCGAGCGCTCTACCACTTGAGCTACAGCGCCACTTCCGGTTTTCTGGTGGTTTATTGGAGATAGGAGTCTCACGGTCTTTCCTGCCCGGGCTGGCTTTGAACTGGGATCCTCAGATCTCAGCCTCCTGAGTAGCTAGGATTACAGGCGTGAGCCACCAGCGCTCGGCAAAAGTCTGTAACTCTTATCTCCAACAAACCAATAGAAAACCAGAAGTGGCTCTGTGGTTCAAGTGGTAGAGCACTTGCCTTGAGCTGAAGAGCTGACGGCCCAGAGTTCAAGCCCTAGGACTGGCAGAAAAAAAGAAAGAAGAAATCTCTACCACTTTTCTAGTGAGGCTGGCTTCCAGATGTGATCCTCAGATCTCAGTCTCCTAAGTTGCTACCATTACAGGAATGAGCCACCAGAGCCAAGCCTAAACAAGGGGTGTGTGTGTGTGTGTGTGTGTGTGTGCGCGCGCGCGTGATGAATGAAATGAAATCACTAGAAATGCAGTTTGGTGCCTCGTCCTGACTCTGGCCCTGACCTTCCCCGCTTTCCTGGCAGTTCGTCGGTGGGAAAGGTGGCAAGGTCCCAGCACTCTTCCAGTGTGGGAAGCGAATTTCCCAGGGCTGGGTCACTTTGCTCCGGTCTTTGTCCTGTGTCTGCTTCTGGAGCCCTGGGCTTCTTCCAGCCCGCTGTGGGTGCCCTCCCCCTCTTACCTCACTTCCTCTCCCCCTGAGTTTTAAAAAGCCATAGAAGGGAAAGCCCTTATTTAAAGGAAGCTACCAGAAAGTCTGGCCTGGGCATCTGGACTGAACTTACCATTGGTTTTTAGCTGAAGGTGTGTAGCTGGGTGCAGAGGCTGAGGTTGGAAGCCAACCCAGCCAGGAAGGTCAGGGAGAAGCCAATCTCCCATGAACCACCAAAAGCCAGAAGTGGAGGTGGAGGTGTAGCTCCAGTGGTCAAGTCCTAGCTTTGAGCACGAAAGCTTAGGGACAGTGCCAGGCCTTGAGTTCAAGTCCTAGGAGACACACACACACACACACACAGACACACACACACACACGTATCTGTGTTTTAAATTTAAAAAAAATTTTTTTGAGATAGGGTCACATACGTTCAAGATTCAAGACTGGCCTTTAGGGTTGTATCCCTCACTTCCAACCAGGACATACAAATCTGGACAGCACCCAGACCCTGGGCTCAAGCCCTAATACCGGCACACACACACACTCACAAAAACAAAATAAATCCAGAACCGAGACTCGGATCCCAGTCTGTCAGAAAGTGAGAGGAAGGGCGAGGCTAGGAGCAGGGTTCTTTTCTTTTTTTTTTTGGGTCCGGTCGTGGGGCCTGAACGCTGTCCCTCAGCTCTTCAGCTCAAGGCTAGCGCTCTACCACTTGAGCCACAGCGCCACTTCTGGCTTCTTTCTTTTTGCTTATGTGGTGCTGAGGAATCGAACCCAGGTCCTCAGGCATGCAAGGCAAGCGCTCTACCACTGAGCCACCTTCCCAGCCCAGGAGCAGGGTTCTTGAGAAAAGCAGAAGAGGATGGTGGTGGAGGACGAGGCCGTGGATGGCACACGTGATCCTGGTTTCACTGTTCTACCCAGTGGCAGCTACTGAGGGTGTCTGGGCTGCGGGGTGGCTGTAGAGGACTCTGCTCTGGCAGGAAGGTGTTAGGAAATGTGGCAGGCAGATCAGGTGGGGCCAGGGACCAGTCAGCTGGCAGGAAGCCAGTGGGGACCCATAAATAGCTCTCCCCCCACGCCTGCTCCCCTCCAATCTTCACATTTCTAATAATGGCATTGCTGTTCTTCCAGCCCAGGAATGAGGTCTGAGTCACTGCTCTCCGCCGTGGCTGGGTCCAGGCAGCTGCCCAGGGACCTCTGCAGTCCACACTTCTTTTGTTTTTGGCCAGTCCTGGGGCCTGAACTCAGAGCCTGAGCACTGTCCTTGATCTCTTCTTTTCTTTTCTTCTTTCCTCAAGGCTAGCACTCTACCCCTTGAGCCACTTCTGGCTTTTTCTGCTTATGTGGTGCTGAGGAATCGAGCCCAGGGCTTTGTGCATGCTAGGCAAGCACTCTATCACTGAGCCACTTTCCCAGCCCAAGGTCTACCCTTCTTGGAGATGTGCTAGGACCCAAGTTAGGTCCAGAGACTGTCCCTCACCTCTCAGTGCCAACAGACACCCCACAAAATAAATGCCCTAGTACTGACACACAAACACAACACCCTTGGCTCCTCTGCTTTACAGATGTGAACACTGACCACTAGAGGCGCCAGTGGCTCACGCCTGTTATCCTAGTAACTCAGGAGGCTGAGATCTGAGGATCTTGGTTCAAAGCCAGCCTAGGCAGGAAAGTCCATGAGATTCTTATCTCTGATAAACCACCAGAAAACTGAAAGTGGAAATGTGGCTTAAGTGGTAGAATATTCGCCTTGAGCTGAAGAGCTGAGGGACAGCGCCCAGGCCCAGAGTTCAAGCCCCATAACTAACGAAAAAAAAAAAAAAATAGGGCTGGGAAGGTGGCTCAGTGGTAGAGCGCTTGCCTTGCAGGCATGAGGCCCTGGGTTCGATTCCTCAGCACCACATAAGCAGAAAAAGCTGGAAGTTGCGCTATGGCTCAAGTGGTAGAGCACTTGCCTTGAGCTGAAGAGCTGAGGGACAGTGCCCAGGCCCAGAGTTCAAGCCCCACGACCGACAAAAAAGAAAACAAAACAAGAGTCTTATGGACTTTCCTGCCCCTGCTGCTTTGTGGGGTGATCCTCAGATCTCGGCCTCTGCAGCAGCGGCTAGGTGACAGGCGTGAGCCACCGGTGCCTGGCTTCCAGTATTTTTATTCTAGGACCAGGATTTGAACTGAGGGCATGACTCTGTCATCCACGGGCTAGTGCTCTACTGCCTGAACTAGCCCTTCAGCCCCTCTACCCATGTTTTACGTGAGAGAATTGAGAGAATAGGGAAAGGGAAAGGGTTTGGGTGGGGTACACACTGGCTCCAGACCAGGATTTTGACAGAGGCTTAGACTTCGCGGGGTTCTAATGCAGCCCCCATGGGCGCACTTGAATGGACTCCAAAACCAGAGCCGTAGTTCTGTTCGCCTGATTGTCCTGGAGGGAAGCTTTGAAGTCAGTTCAAGGTCACCTTCCTGGGGCAGTTCCGCCTGGCAGTGTTTATTATGAGACTGTGTGTGTGTGTGTGCGCCTGTGGGTGGCTGGACAGAAAGGTTGCTCCTATTTGGATTGAGTCTATGCAACTGGGAACGCAGGATTTGTGGGGGTTTTCGAAACACACCGGCAGCCCTTGTGGGCTCTCACTTTAGAAAGCGCCCGGGCGGGAGCCAGCTGGTTGCGGTGGTGGCCGGGTGCTGCCTGCCTTCCCACCCAACCCCATAAGAATGGGCAGGGCTGGCTGCAGCCACGGTTGGCTTGCCTGGCGAGCAGGAGGTCCAGAGGGGGCCCGGGCTTGCTCCTTGGGACAGAGGCCCCGCGTTGGAGCCTGGGATCGATCCTGAGGACGGAGGCCCCGCGTTGGAGCCTGGGATCGATCCTGAGGACAGAGGCCCCGCGTTGGAGCCTGGGATCGATCCTGAGGACGGAGGCCCCGCGTTGCGGAACTCGAGGGCTGTGGCATAGTTTCCGGGACTCCTGGGCCGCAGCCGCGCTCACCGCGGAGAAGAGGCGCGGGCCGAGCCGGCTGAGGTTCCGGGACGCTGGGCTCGGGTGGGCGCGAACCCTGGAGGCCCGGGGAGGGCGGGGAGCCGGGGAAGGCGGGGCCGAGCCGGGGGAGGGCGGGCGGGGGGGGCTAACCCGGCCCGGCCCCGCCCCCCCGGCGAGGCCCAATAAGGCCGCGGCCCGCGGCCCCGCCCCGCGTGCGGGAGGCCCGGCCCGGCCCGGCGCGCGGATCCGGCCCTGGCCTCGCCGCGTCGGGATGGCGGGCTTCCTGCGGGTCCTCCGCTCGCTGCACGCCGCCTCCGGCTGCGCGGGCCCCGCCTGGGCGCCTGCGGGCCTCTGCGCCCGGAGCCCGGCGGAGCCGCCGCGGCGCCACTGTGAGTGCGCGGGGGACGGGTGCGGGGGCTCCACGCGGGGATCGGGGGGGCGGGGGACGGGGGCCCACGCGGGGATCGGGGGCGGGGGGCCACGCGGGGATCGGGGGCGCGGGGGACGGGGACGGGGGCTCCACGCGGGGATCGGGGGCGCGGGCGGGGCTCCACGCGGGGATCGGGGGGGCGGGGGACGGGGACGGGGGGCTCCACGCGGGGATCGGGGGGGGCGGGGGACGGGGACGGGGGGCTCCACGCGGGGATCGGGGGGGCAGAGTCCCACGCGGGGATCGGGGGCGCGGGGCTCCACACAGGGGCGGGCGGCGGGGTGGGGGCCGCAAGGGCGCGGGCGATCGGCGTCGGGGCCGGGCCCGGGGCCGCCCTGCGCCCCCGGCGTTCCGGGAGGGGGGCTCCGGACGCCCCGCCCCGCGCCTCTGGGTGGGCCCGGCGCGGGCGCCGGCGGGGGGACGCGGCTCCCCGGTCCCGGCCTGCCTCGCACTCACCCGGTCCCGGGCCCCCGGTCCCCGCCCCCCGGTGCCCGCCCCGCGTTCACCCGCCCCTCGGCGGTTATTTTCGGAGCCCTAGCCCGACAGCTGGCCCGGGACCCGCCTTTGTGTGGCCGCCGCTCCGCCCCCCGCGGCGCGGGAGGCGCTTCCCGGCCTCCGGACCCGCCGCCCGCCGCCCTCCCCTCTCCTCTCCCCCCTCCCACTCCTCATTCCCTCCCCCCTCCCCCCCCACTCACTGTTTGGGTCTGGGAATCCACCCCGGACCTGGCGCGCATGCCCGTCGCGCCCCTGCCCCCGATCCCGGCCCCCGATTCCCCGGTCCCTGGACCCCAGATCCCTGGATCCCCCGATTCCCCGTCCCCGATCCCCATCCCCGATCCCGGGCCCTCGCGCCCCTGGGGAGGCCTCCGTCTTCCTTCCACTGCCTCTACTTCTAGACTTAGCGCCGCACCGCGGCTTTGCCCGGGCCTCGGGTCGTCTTAAATTGTATTTGTTTTTCATCGGTACTGGGACTAGAACCCCGGCCGGGCGCCGTCCTGAGCCTCTGTGCCCGGCTGGCGCTCTGCCCCTGGAGCCGCAGCCACAGCCCGCTTTTTTTTGAGTAGTTTCTTGGAGATAAAGAGGCTAGCAGACCTTTTCTGGCTGGCTTTGAACTGCGATTGTTAGAGCTCAGTCTCCTGAGCCGCCACCACGCCACAGCTCAGCCTTCTGAGCGGCCAGGCCACCATGCCACAGCTCAGCCCCCTGAGCGGCCAGGCCACCACGCCACAGCTCAGCCTCCTGAGTGACCAGGCCATGAGCCACAGCTCAGCCCCCTGAGCGGCCAGGCCACCACGCCACAGCTCAGCCTCCCGAGCGACCAGGCCACCACGCCAGAGCTCAGCCCCCCGAGCGGCCAGGCCACCACGCCAGAGCTCAGCCCCCCGAGCGGCCAGGCCACCACGCCAGAGCTCAGCCCCCCGAGCGGCCAGGCCACCACGCCAGAGCTCAGCCCCCCGAGCGGCCAGGCCACCACGCCAGAGCTCAGCCCCCCGAGCGGCCAGGCCACCACGCCAGAGCTCAGCCCCCCGAGCGGCCAGGCCACCACGCCAGAGCTCAGCCTCCCGAGCGGCCAGGCCACCACGCCAGAGCTCAGCCTCCCGAGCGGCCAGGCCACCACGCCAGAGCTCAGCCTCCCGAGCGGCCAGGCTAGGAGCCACAGCTCAGCCTCCCGAGCGGCCGGGCCACCAGCGACAGCTCAGCCTCCCGAGCGGCCGGGCCACCAGCCACAGCTCAGCCTCCTGAGCAGCCAGGCCAGGACCACAGGCCTCTCTCCAGTTCTTCCCTGCACTGTTAAAAGGAGAAAGACAAAAGGATGAGGACCACGCTGACCATAGTGCCAGGCTCCAAGGAGGACGTGCCAGGGGCTCATGGGGAGGGAGCCGTCCTCTGCAGCTTCTGAAAGCCCCAGCAGGGTGGAAGGAAGGGTTGTCAGCACATGCTGCCCAGGGCTCCTGCACTTGGGACTTGGCACAGCCGCTGGGGACAGGATCCCTGGCATTCCCCTCACCCACAAGGAAAGAATATTTTTTGGCTAGCCTGGTCTTGTGACTTTGCTGCCGGTCAAATTCCAGCCCAGGTCTCTTTCTAACCATGCAGCTTCCAGCCAGGGTGGCTGGTGGTTCTGAAAAGTTAGCAGCTCTGCACGGTGAACCGTTGCAAGAAAGACTTAGCCTGCCTGCCCTCATCTTCTTCCTGGCCGGGTCACCGCAGACCTTGCTGGCTTCCTGAATGCTCAGTTCCCAGATGTTCTGTCTGGTGTGGAGACCTCCTGGGTCCCTGGGGCTGGGAGTGGGCGGTATAGAAACTGCCCCTCAGGGCACTAACCTTGGAAGAAAAATCAGGAGTGGGTTTATACTACAGATGAGCTCATGCTAAAAATGCCAAAGAGTTGTTATTTTATTTTTTGTTTTCTAAGACTCAGACTCCAATTCTGTTATCTGACCCTTTTGCTTAGGGGCTGGTTCTCTACTACGGGAACCACGTCTCCAAGCCCACTTTTATTTTGAAGTACTTGCATCCCGGGACCTTGCAGTGCTAGGCATGAACTATACCGCTCAGCTACACCCTCTGTCCTTTGATACTTTGAGGTAGGCTCTCCTAAAGTTGCTCAGCCAGGACTTTACTAGTGATAACTTCCTCCTTGGCCTTCTCAGCCGCTGGGGTTGATTGCAGGTGTGAACTACTGCATCTGGCTGCATTTATTTTTTTCTTTCTTTTGGTGTTGGAGATCCAACCCAGAACCTCACACGCACCAGGCACACTCTAGCACCAAGCCACACACCCCAGAGCGCATGGCAGATAGGAACGGTGGGAGGGCTGTCTGCTTCTCCGGGGTAGTGAGCCCTTTCGAGGCAGGGCTGCGGTGGGCCTCGGCTGCGTTCTGCTAGCCAGGCCTGCCCAGCCTCTGTGTGGCACCGGCTCCAGCAGGACAGTTGGTGGGAGAGGTGGCAGCATGTAGAGAGGAAACAGGGCAGCCCTGGCCCTAGACCATGTCAACCTTCATCTAACCTTCAGCTGTGCCCTTAACAGGTGTTCTGTTTCCCTGTTGTTCAAGCCAGATGCTGTGCAAAGTGCTGGGGATAGGACTGGGAATATAAGCAGGACGGATCCCATCCCTCAGGGAGCTTTGGAGGCCCTGGAATCCCAGCTGCTCTAGCTGCTTGGGAGGTGGAGGGGCTGGTGGGCGAGGCTGGCGGGAGCAGAAGTTGGTGAAATCTTCTACCAAAAAGGAAACACAGGCTGGGCGCCTGTCATCCTAGCTACTCAGGGGGCTGAGATCTGAGGATCGAGGTTCAAAGCCAGCCCAGGCAGCAAAGTCTGTGACACTCTTATTTCCAATGAACCACCAGAAAACCGGAAGTGGCGCTGTGGCTCAAGCGGTAGAGCGCTCGCCTTGAGCTGAAGAGCTGAGGGACAGCGCCCAGGACCAGAGTTCAAGCCCCACGACTGACAAAAAAAAAAAAAAAAAAAAGATCATGGAGGTGTCTGGGGCTGCCTTCCGGGGAGACGGGGGGAAGAGGCCCCATGGGCCTCTCGTGACTGGTCTCCTTCTGTCCTACTCCCTTCCCCTTGGGACAGCATTGGAAATTGCTGGTGGCTTCTTCCTCTTAGGAGTGTGCAGCCACCCTTGTCCTTGAAAGGCAGAGTGTGACGATGCCCACCACGCCGGCCGAGCCTCCACAGGGCCTCAAGCTCCCATGATCTGGGGCTACCTGGAGCATGGAAGGCCGGCTGGGAGCAAGGGGGGCGCTCACCCACCTGGCCTTGCCCCAGGGACTGGCCTCTGCTGTGGGGTCCCTTCTTCAAGACAGGCCACGGTTATTTTTATTTGTTTAAGTGGGTCTGATTTATTTATTATGTGCTGGGACATAGAACTCAAGGCCTTGAGCTTTTAAGGCAAGCACTCTACCATTTAATCATACCTTCAGTCCCAACAATCGTGTGTGTGTGTGTGTGTGTGTGTGTGTGTGTGTGTGTGTGTGTGTGTGTGTGTGTGTGTGTGTGTATCTGTGTCTGTCATTGTGGGGCCTGAACTCTGGGCCTGGGCACTGTTCCTGAGCTCTTCAGCTCAAGGTGAGTGCTCTACCTCTTGAGCCACAGCACCACTTGTGGTTTTCTGGTGGTTAATTGGAGATAAGAGTCCCACGGACTTTTCTGCCTGGGCTGGCTTTGAACCGCAATCCTCAGATCTCAACTGCCTGAGTAGCTAGGATGACAGGCGTAAGCCACCAGTGACTAGCTAAATGATCAGATTTTTTTTTTTTTTGGGGTCCGGTCGTGGGGCCTGAACTCTGGGCCTGGGCGCTGTCCCTCAGCTCTTCAGCTCAAGGCTAGCGCTCTACCACTTGAGCCACAGCGCCACTTCCGCCTTTTTTTCTCCTGCTTATGTGGTGCTGAGGAATTGAACCCAGGGCCTCAGGCATGCAAGGCGAGTGCTCTACCACTGAGCCACCTTCCCAGTCCTGTATATTAACCTTTTTCAAGAGTGTTATTCACTAGTGTTAGACATGTTTAGTGTGCCCAGATGTACCAGCCATCTCCAGAACTTTCTCATCTTACAAAATTGAAACTCTATATCCATCCAACAGTAACTCCCCACCCCACCCCATGCCCGCCTGGCTGCACCACTCCACTTCTGTTTGTGAATTTGACTCTTAGGTGACTTACGTAAGTGGAATTGTATAACTTTGTCTTTGTGATGAGTGTGTAACAACACAGTGTTCCCAAAGGCCTTCACTGCTAGAAAGGACCTTATTTATTTATTTACTTATTTATTTATTCGGTGTGCTGAACTCAGGGCCTGGGTCCTGTCCCTTAAGCTTTTTTGCTCTAGGGTGGCACTCTACCACTTAAACCACACTTATGGCTTTCTTGGTGGTTAATTGGAGATAAAGAGTCTCACAGAATTTTTTTCTGCCCAGGCTGGCTTCCAACCACAATCCTCAGATCTCAGCCTTCTGAATAGCTGGGATTACAAGCGCAGGGACCCAGCTTTGTTTTTGCTTCAGTACTAGAAATTGAACTCAGGGCCTCAGAAGCCCTGGACATGTGTTCTGCTGCGGAGCTGAGCTGTGTCCCCAGCCCAGCTCGAGGCTTGTATTCCACAGGCTTCTGTTTTCTGTCCACCTGCCGGTTTGTTTTCCATGTCTTCCTACTGTGTTTTCAACCCTGGTTGCTTTGGGCTCTCCGAGGGTGGGTGATGCGGGGAGCCGTGTGCAGCCGGGGTGCTGCTTCAGGAAGGGCTGCGTTCTCCACTGGGTGTTTCCTGGCCGCTGTCTGAGCCTCCCCGTAGTGTCGCCACAGGCCGTGGGCAGGGACGGGGGCGGGGGGGGGCGCGGGGGGCTGCTGTCCCGCCTGCGCTGATGCATTAGCCTCCTGCCTCCCGCCTCCTGCCTCCTGGGTCTCCTCACAAGTCAGACTTCCTGTTGGTGCCTGCTCTGCCCTCCTCCCCTCCGGCTCAGGACCCCACACGGCCACCTGCTGGCTTTTTTGCTATAGACTAACTCACGTGAGGTGGCTTAAATCGGGGAGCACATGCCTGATCCTGGTCACTGGGGTGGTAAACTGAGCCTCAGTTTCTCAATCTTGAGAGAATGTTATTGGAAGGATACAGAGTTGCTGCTAGAAGTGCGGGAGGGAGAGCTTTGGAGAGGATAGGGATTCCGTCTCCCTGGTTTGTGCTGTATGAGGTCATGGGCCACCGAGGAGCAGCAGGGTGCTGCTTCAGGAAAGGCTGGGTTCCAAGCCTTGGGGGGCAGGGGCCCCTGGATTGCCTTTCCTCAATTTGATTCTGGACAAGGGCCCTGGCTGGCTAGGACCTCTTCGTCTCTTGGTCTCTGCATATCCCTGGGGAGAGGATCTGAGGGGGCCGGGTTGAGGTGGACATCACCGGGGTTCAGGGAGCTGCTTGTGCAGGAGGGGGAAGGGGGGGACGCTGCCCCCTCCCACCTGCCCAGCTGTGACCTGCCCTGCCTGCTGCTAGATGCTGACAAGAGGATCAAGGTGGAGAAGCCGGTGGTGGAGATGGACGGTGACGAGATGACCCGAATCATCTGGCAGTTCATTAAGGAGAAGGTGCGGCCCTCGGGGGGAGGGGGGGCAGAGGGGACGGGGGTGGGGGTGGGGAGAGGTTCCTCCAGGCGGGGGCTGAGGGTTTGCTCCCACGGGGTCTTTTGGTCCCCAGGACTCATTGATTTTTGGAGGACAACAGTGCTTTTACTTTCTGGCTGCGCTTTCTTGTGCAGAGAATGAATTGGGGTGCGTGTGTGTGTGTGTGTGTGTGTGTGTGTGTGTGTGTGTGTGTGTGTGTGTGTCTGTCTTGAACTCAATGCTTATGTTCTTGCTTGGCTTTTCTGCCTTGCCTCTATTTCTGGCTTTTTGCTGGTTAACTGGACATAGAGAGTCTCTTGGATTTGTCTGCCTGAATTGGATTCAAACCACAATCCTCAGATCTCAGCCTCCTGAGTAGCTAGGATGACAGGTGTGAGCCACTAGTACCCAGCTTCCACATACTTAGTTATTTTTGAGATAGGGTTTCACTATGTAGCTGTCATGATCCTCCTAACTGAGCGCTGGGATTACAGGCATGCACCCCCATGCCCAGCTGTTGAGACCTTCACTTCTGATTGTGAAGGTCTCCAAGCACGTGGCAGATGTGGGGCTCACTGTCTGGAGAAACCTAGATGGGTTGAGCCTGGGATGTGGCTCACTTGTTGGGCCCCAGCAGATGGTACAGGTAGGGGTTTGGCCCATGCAAGGGGCAGCGTGATCTGGAACTGATGTGCTCCAGTCTCTCTGGAGGCCAAACCGCTGGACAGGCTCCCCAGAGGAGGGGCAGGCCTCAGCCCTCTCCTGTGCCCTCTCCACGGGCCTTCCTTGACTCTGTCCTGACCGGGTGTTCCTGCCATAGTCCAGACTTCAGGTCTGCCCATGAGGGGCAGGCTTGGGAGCCAGGACTGAGGCACCGCCTGCCTGTCCCGCAGCTCATCCTGCCCCATGTGGATGTCCAGCTCAAGTACTTCGACCTCGGGCTCCCGAATCGTGACCAGACCAATGACCAGGTCACCATCGACTCCGCACTGGCCACCCAGAAGTACAGTGTCGCCGTCAAGTGCGCCACCATCACCCCGGATGAGGCCCGCGTGGAAGGTGCCAGGACACGGCCGGGCGTGCGCCAGGGATCCCCGGCTCTCCCTGCCAGCTGCTCGGGCTCAGCTGTGCCGGGAAGGGTCATGGTCGCAGTGCCTGGGGTGGCATCGGGGTCAGAATGAGGGATGGAGGGTGCTTAGGGCTCACCAGACAGCTAGCTCTTTCCCTCCGTGTTGGACGTGGTGGCGTGGAGAACGGGGCCTGCGGCCCAGGCTCAGCTCCAGGCACCGTTTACATCCCAGACTGGGACCCACCTTGTCTCTGTCCTCACAGAATTCAAGCTGAAGAAGATGTGGAAGAGTCCCAACGGAACCATCCGGAACATCCTCGGGGGGACCGTCTTCCGAGAGCCCATCATTTGCAAAAACATCCCCCGGCTTGTCCCGGGCTGGACCAAACCCATCACCATCGGCAGGCACGCCCACGGCGATCAGGTAGGCCGCGCTGGGAGACGGAGTCTGTGGTTCTGGACCCCACTCGAGCCCTGGCCTGAGCCCCCTCTCCTCTCCGCAGTACAAGTCCACAGACTTCGTGGTGGACCGGGCCGGCACGTTCAAGGTGGTCTTCACCCCCAAGGATGGCAGCGGTGCCAAGGAGTGGGAGGTGTACAACTTCCCCGCAGGCGGCGTGGGCATGGGCATGTACAATACGGACGAGGTGAGCCCCGGGCCTCTCCCCGCCGTCCCTCCATGTCTGCCGCCCACCTCTCCTCTCCTGTGCTCCCAGGGCTCATCTCCTGCCTGCCTGGCTGCTTTATCTGAAGGAAGTGTTTACTTGGGTCACATGACTGTCTCTGAGCCAATCACTGAGGCCTGGGGGATGAAGGGCTCTGATTGGATACACTGATTAGTGAAGGCAGTAGTACAGGTGAACTGGTAGCCGTGGGCCTACCCCTGCCATCTGGTCCAGGAATTGAAGGAGGAGGAGAGAGTCTTCCAAAGCAGAGGTGGAGAGGTTGCTTGCTTGCTCTCAGCAGTTTGGTGGGGGAGATCATAGACCAGCCATCATCACAGACACCCACTCCTCGGTGGCTGGGGTTGAGTGGTATTTTGGAAGGAACTGGTCCGGGAACATGGAGGAGAGCTGGCAGAGCCCGGCTGGCACGCCCTGGCAGCTTGCACCTGCTTTTCCTGCAGTCCATCTCGGGCTTCGCCCACAGCTGCTTCCAGTACGCCATTCAGAAGAAGTGGCCGCTGTACCTGAGCACCAAGAACACCATTCTGAAGGCCTACGACGGGCGGTTCAAGGACCTCTTCCAGGAGATCTTTGACAAGTAACAGCCTCTTTCTTTGCTGCTTCCCGAAGATAACAGAGCCTCCTCCCTCCCGGTGCTGTCCTCACCCTGTGTGGGGAGTGGGGTCCTGGTGCCCTGGGCTCCACGCTGAGGCTCGGGGAGGGGTCCCTAACCTGCCAGCCTCCCACCCTCTGCTCACGCAACAGGCCCTTTTACTCCCAGGCACTATAAGACCGACTTCGACAAGAACAAGATCTGGTACGAGCACCGGCTCATCGACGACATGGTGGCTCAGGTGCTCAAGTCCTCGGGCGGCTTTGTGTGGGCCTGTAAGAATTACGACGGAGACGTGCAGTCAGACATCTTGGCACAGGGTACGCCGGGAGGACCCCGGGCCTCTCATCGGCTCTAGGCAGCCCGGCCTGCACAGTGACACACTGTCTCAAAAACCAAAAGCCCACCAAGAACCATGGCTCACCGACACAGGTGGCCTGACCAGGGGCAAGCAGAAACTCAAAGACAAATCCTCTTCCTGTTTGCAAGGCACCCACTCTGTCTTCCTGGGTGTGCGGGCGTGCTTATTTTGGTGCCGCGGAGTTGCTCTTGCGGCTCCAGAGCCCTTGATCACGGGAGAGACCTTGTGAACTGACTTCTGGAGTTGAGAAACTTTGGAAATAAATCACAAGGCTCCAAAGTAGCCCCAAACCAGCAGAGATAGCCTCAGAATTAGCCAGTGCTCTAGTTTTCCTTCTTCTTGAAACGGCCCCCCTGGGAGCTACAGGAAGGCGTCTGGGGTCTAGGACCTTGGAGCGTGCCAGGCTCGGGGGCTGGCTGTCAGCCTGTGTAGTCCGGGTCCTCACGGCTGCACCGGGGCAGGGCTTGGGCGCCAAGCTCAGCCGGGGCTGACAGAAGGCTCTTCCTGCCGCTCAGGCTTTGGTTCTCTGGGCCTGATGACGTCCGTGCTCGTCTGCCCCGATGGGAAGACGATTGAGGCGGAGGCTGCCCATGGGACCGTCACCCGCCATTACCGGGAGCACCAGAAGGTGAGGGAGGGCGCGTGGTATAGGAGGACCCCAGAGCCCAGAGCCCCTGGCCCTGTCGGATGGCTGGGAGCCGGCGTCCACCCAGGCTGGTGACCTGTGACCCCCGTCCCCAGGGCCGGCCTACCAGCACCAACCCCATCGCCAGCATCTTTGCCTGGACGCGGGGCCTGGAGCACCGGGGCAAGCTGGACGGGAACCAGGACCTCATCAGGTGAGACGGTGGGCGGCCAGGCCCACGCCAGGGCTCCGCGCTGCCCGCTGCAGGGTCTCACCTGCATGCCCCACCCCCAACTTCCACCTCTGTAGGTTCGCTCAGACCCTGGAGAAGGTGTGCGTGGAGACCGTGGAGGGCGGAGCCATGACCAAAGACCTGGCCGGCTGCATCCACGGCCTGAGCAAGTGCGTGGTCTGGGGCGGGCAGCAGGCACGGAGCTGGGGAGCCCTCGGGGACAAGGGTAGCTGCTGGGCAGGTCCAGTGCTCGGTGGCCCAGCTTTTCCCAGGACAGCTTGCATCCAGGTGCTGGTCACATAGACAAAAAGACCGGCCTTCCCAGGTGCCTGTGGAATCTGCGGTGCTCCTCTGCTCTTGAGTAGTGAACCACAGATTCCTATGGCCCGTGGCAGCCAGGAGAGGGCCATGCCGGGGCTCTGCCCTAGTGGGGTCTGGCCAATGGCCTTGGGGAGGGGTGAGCAGCCCCTGATGTTCCCTGGCGTTCCCTTGGCAGCGTGAAGCTGAATGAACACTACCTGAACACCACAGACTTCCTGGACGCCATCCAGAACAACCTGGACAGAGCTCTGGGCTAGCCCTAGGGGAGGAGGCGCCGCCCGGCTGCACACTGCCGGCTGCCAACCGGGACTTGCACCAGCCCCGGCCCGGCCCGGCCCTGCCCTGCCACAGGCTCTCCCCACCGGTGCTAGGCTGAGCCGCACAGCACGGCTCTTTGGAGTTCTTTCTAGGGGGAAATCTGTTTTTCATGAGATGTTTTCAAAAGAGTGCCTTTTTCCCCAAGTGCCGCCCCCCCCGCCCCCCTCTCCCCACCCCAGTGCTCCACACCGCCCTCTTTACTACCTTGAACACACGGGGTCCTATTTAGCTACTAAAAAGCTCTTCACAAAACCGTCTGCTGTGTGTGTTCCTGAGGGGAGGGGGCAGCTGGGGCAGCAACCCTCAGAGGGACAGACCAGGGCGCCCCCTCCATCAGGGGGTGACTGGGACCAGGCACCAGGCCAGGCCCACAGCTTCCCTCGTACCTCCCAGCATGGCTTACATCTGGCTTTCTACTTGGGGATCATCCCAGCGTCCCAATCACGTGGATATCTGTTATTTGTCTGTGTGCCGAGACTGAGGCTTGAACTCAGGGCCTGGGCACTGTCCTGGAACTTTTCCACAGCTCTGCTTCTGTTTTTTTTTTTGATGGTTGATTTGAGAATCTCATGGACTTTCCTGCCCAAGATGTCTTTGAACCATGATCCTCAGATCTCAGCCTCAGGAGTTGCTAGGATGACAGGTGTGATGCACTGGTGCCCAGATCTGGATATTAATAAATGTCGCCTGGTCTCTATTTGCCCGTTTCTCTGTGCTGACACCAGGCTCTCCGGTGCCAGCTGTGAAGGGTGACTGGGCCCCAGCCCCTGGGTCCCAAACTTGGATTCATATGCACCGTGCTTCATAAAACCAAAAAGAGTAAGGTGATTAAAAAGAAGTCACCCTAAAAGCACATGCTAGACTGGGAATGTGGCTTAGTGATAGAGTGCTAAATAGCATGCACGAGGCCCTGGGTTCAATTCCTCAGTACCACATACACAGAAAAAGCCAGAAGTGGCACTGTGGCTCAAGTGGTAGAGTGCTAGCCTTGAGCAAAAGCAGCTCAGGAACAGCGCTCAGGACCCCAAGTTTAAGCCCCAGGACTGGGGGGGGGGGGAAGCCCTGGCAAACAAAATTGAGTAACCACCCCCCCCAACCCAGGGTCTGCCTTTGCATATCCCAGTTGGAACTTTCCCACTGAGCTGCATCTGAGTCCAGTAATTTGTACTTAATAGTACAGTCAGCCCTCCATACACACAGACTCTGTGCCTGAGGTCCAACTTGGAGTGAAAATATTTCTAAAGACCCAGGTGTGGTGCCTAGAATCTCAGCACTCATGAGTTTGAGGCTGTCCAGGATCATGTAATTCCATAGTGCTGTCTCAAACAGATGAGAGTAAGACATGCCTACGTTCGGCATGGCTCAAGTGGCAGAGCACTGCCTAGCAAGCTTCAATCCGACTTCATCCCCCCGACGGTAGACAGGACAGTGCATGTAGGCTCTGTTCTACAGAGGACCTGGTCACCTTTGGATTTTGGTACCCTCAAGGTATGGGGGGACCTTACCACCAGCCTCCCCTAAATACTCCTGCTTCAGTGCTCTGGCCCAGGCCTCCCCCATGCTGGGAGCCCCACTTGCTCAACTTCCTCTGGGGTATGGGAGGAGCTGGGGCTTCTGTCCTGGGGTAAAGGGGCGGGAGTTGGGAACCTTAGCCTGTACCCTTCTGCCATAGCTTTCTTCCCCCACAGAGACACAGAAGCTTCCCTTCTGGGGGAGAGGAGTCCCCAAAAGTTGTGGAAAGGAGCACTCTCACTCAAGAATATTCCATTTATTTATAATTATTGCTAAGTAAACCTCTCTTTTCAACAGGAACGTAAAAACACAGTAGGGCTCGGCACAAGAGGAGTCTCTAAGGAGTTGGTTTGTGTACACGTCAAAATAAGTTAGAATGGAATTCGTCCAGGAGTTTCTATCCCCTCCCCACCCCCACCACGCCTTCCCCGGGGAGGCGGGGAGGCGGAGGACAGGAGCTGGCCAGGGTCACCTGGGCTGGAACTGTGCGCGTGCTGCCTGCTGCCCACCCCTCTGCGGTGCCCAGGTACCGGGCCCCACGGGGCAGGGGGCGTTCAAGCGAGGAACCTGCTGCTGATTTTGGAGGTGACCTGCCCCCACACCCAGGCCAGACTTCGCCCTTCGGCTCCCAAGACCAAGGCCACTGTGCTGGCAGGAGGGGAGGAGGTACGGGGTGCTTTTTGGTACCAGGGGGGAGAAAGACGCTGTGGGAAGAGGTAGTTTACGGGGGGGGGAGCCTTCTGCTCAGCAGGGGAAAACGTCTTGTGCAGAGACGCTACAGTCACTGCCACCTGAGGGGCGTGGTGGGCACGGGGGAGGGCGGGGCCCTGGAGTGGGGAGCCAGCGTGTGCGGCCCAGTTCCCCGCCACACACCCCTCCAGGCCAGGCCCACCCCTTTGCTTAGGGAGGAGGGGTGGGGTGGGGAGCAGCCTCTGCACGCCAAGCTCATCCTGGGATCTCCGGTGAAGCTGGGGGCTCTGCCACCCATGGCTCCCCATGCAGACCCCAGGAGCTTGGAGCTGGGGGCCCTTGGGCCCCGAGTTCCTGAACGTGCTCCTTCCCTGCGCTGGGAGCCTGCCGCTGTGGTTTCCAGGGCAGGAGGAAGTAGAGTCAGCAGCAGAGAGGCCGGTGGCCTGGGTCACCCCTCTGCCTTCTGCCCAGTTTCCCCCGGCCCCCCGGTTCTCCAAGCCAGAGTCCAGCCAGGTGAGACGCACGCACAGCGCACGCTTTCCAAAAAGAAACCGCGTCTCACCACGCCCGACATCTGCGCAGCTCAGGAGGCTGAGATCTGAGGGTCGTGGTTCAAAGCCAGCCCTGGGAGGAAAGCCCACGAGACTCTTATCTCCAGCTAACTGCCAAAAATGCTGGAAGTGGAGCTGTGGCTCAAGTGGTAGAGCACTAGCCTTGAGCAAAAAAATAAAATAAAAGCTCAGGGACAGCGCCCAGGCCCTGAGTTCAAGCCCCAGCACTGGCACCAAAAACAAAAAAATCCCACAAAAACAAAATGCATCTCCAGCCAAAAAAAAAAAAAAAATTGGGGGGGGGGGTACAGGGAAGGGAACAAATGACAACCGATTTAGAAAGGAAATAAATTATCTTCAAAATACCCCCATTTGCTAAAAAATTCTTTAGTTTCCCTTCTGTGGTCCTCCTCTTTAAGCGTGCCGCCTCTTCCGGGCGCTGGGGACGGGCCCATGCTGGGCGTCTGCATGCTTGCAAGCAGCTGCGGTGGCCCCTTCCCTGGCAGGTGTCCTTGGCCTCCCCTGAGGATGCCCCGTGGGTCCCCAGAGACGCCTCACCCTGTCACCGCCCTGGGGGGTGGTCCCTGCGAGTGTCTCCGGATCTCCTCGGGTGGGGGACACTGTGGCATCCCACACAGGATGGCACAGGGTGATGGGACACTTAACTACCCCAACATGGCGGCCGGGCAGGGCCAGGGGCTGATGGGAAGGAGGCTGTCTGAGGGGGGTGGGAGGGGGGGCTGGGCAGGCCCAGGAGGTAGACGGCAGTGCCCCGCCTGGCAGTTCAGTGACGGGTGGGGAAGGGGCAGTGCTGGCCAGCACGGGAGCTCAGATCCCCTAGAGGAGGAGAAGCAAGGCTTGGCTCAGCGGTCAGGACCCTCGGGCCCTGCCAGCATGTCCCCACCCACCCACAGCAGCAGGCCTGGGAGACCAGTCCTGGCCTCCGGTCCCCTTCCTCGCCAGGCCGAGGCCAGTAGTAGAGTCTCCATTTGGTCTGAAGGTCCCGAGGGGCGCATGGCTCGGAGGGAGGGCAGGGGGCGCGGGGCAGTAGCTTGTGCTCTGGGGCAGGGCCCGTGGGCCGCCCCCCCCCCCCCGGGGCCTCCCCCCCTGGCCTGGCCCTCCGCCTGCTATAGCACATTGTAGTAGGCCATCTCCTTCATGGCCTGCTCCGTGAGGGCGCCGGCCTCCGCGCCGCCGTCCACGCCGGTGAAGGTGTAGCCACTGTCCTCGAAGTCCTCCATCTCCTGCTGGCTGTCCAGTTCAGAGGGGTCGGGGCCCGCCAGCTCCATCATGGGGTCTAGAAGAGAAGGGAAGAGTCAGGCCTGGACGCGGCTCTGCGGGGAGCCTGTCGCCCCCACCCAAGAGGCTCGGCGATGGCTTCCCTCGTGTGTGCCGGGACCGGGGCTTGAACTCATGGGTCTGGTGCTGTCGCTTGGCTGTCTCACTCAAGGCTGGCGTTCTACCGCTGGAGCCATGCCTCCTCCTGCCCAGCACTTTTTTCTGGCTCACTGGAGGTGGAGTCTCTAGGACTTTTCTGTTCAGATTGGCTTTGAACCACGATCCATACGTACATAGATCTCAACATCTGGAGTAGCTAGGACGGCAGGCATGAGCCACCTGCACAGGGCTTACTTATGCTGACCGTTCTCAAGGCCTGGGGCCTGGTGCTGTGTGAACACAGGCGGCTATCCCCCTGTGGCCCCTGCTAAAATCTCGGTCACTGCAGCAGGAAGTCCTTCTGCACTTGCTCAGGGCTCTGTAAGGCCTTGCGTTTAACCCTCCCCACGCCCCGTGTCTCATCCCCTGCTGACAGCAGCCTCAGTGGGTAAATCGAGGCTGAGGCTGAGGCTGAGAGGTGAATTGGGTTGTCAAAGGTCACTGCTCTGGTGCGGGAGGGAGCAGTTTTGTCCTCTGACCTCCTGCCAGCATTCCTGCTTCAAACCTACTTCAGCTCAGAGTCTACTCCTGGCCTCTCCCAAGACCTGTGTACACACCCACAGCAGCTTGCTCTGTTTTTATCAAACTGAAATCTTATTTATTTTTTGTCAGTCATGGGGTTTGAACTCTGGGCCTGGGCGTTGTCCCTCAGCACTTCAGCTCAAGGCAAGCTCTCTGCCACTTGAGCCACAGTACCACTTCCGGTTTTCTAAGTGATTTATTAGAGATAAGAGTCTCATGGACTTTCCTGCCCAGGCTGGCTTTGAACCGCGATCCTCAGATCTCAGCCTCCTGAGTAGCTAGGATGACAGGCATGAGCCATGGGCGCCCGGCTGAAATCTTATGTTAAAGCTCTGACTGTAACATCAGCCAGATGGAGGCATTCCAGGAGCTCAGCGGGCAGGCTGGGGCTGTAGAGCACTTGCCTAGCAAGCTGGAGATAGAGAGGCTAGCAGGGAGAGGATCACTCAGAGAAGTTGGCTGGCAGGGACTATAGCTCACCCCCTACGTATCTGCCCACCCACTGAGAATATGCGTTTGGGTCTGGCCCTGGTAAGTACACGTAGAGGTTCCAGGCCTTGGCAGGATTAGCACTGGGGCCATAATTCCTTTTCCTATTTACTGCAAGGCACTGGGTTATATATTTCTGATCTCCACCAGTAATTCCAGTACCACCAGCCCAGTTACACCCAGATGCCACCTAGGGGGCAAACTCCCTGATCTAAACTGGCTGCCTGGTCTTGAGATAACTGCTAGTCATTTTCGAGAACCTTCTCTCCGATGATGTCCAAGCACTGAAAGGAGAAGGCTCTGACTGTTTCACGCTCGTGAGCCCTGGCAGCCATCCTGGGACCACGAGGAAGAATCCCAGCTCGCGCTATGGGCGGAGAGATGTCCTGCAGACAAGCTGTTGCCCAGCTTCCAGGGGTCTCTCTCTTTTTTTGCCGGTTGTGGGGCTTGAACTCTGGGCCTGGGCGCTGTCCCTCAGCTCTTCAGCTCAAGGCTAGCGCTCTACCACTGGAGCCATAGCACCATTTCTGACTTTTTCTGCTGATGTGGTGCTGAGAAATCCAACCCAGGGCCTCATGTATGCGAGGAAAGCGCTCTACCACTGAGCCACCTTCCCAGCCCTGTAGTGGGTCTCCTGATGTCCTGGCGCATGGCGGCGTGAGCCCTGTGTTAGTTGGGCCTGCAGCATCGACCTCGCTGGGGTCTGCTTGATCCCACAGAACGTGGCCAACCATCCCAACTCCCAGAGCCCAGGCCGGCTCCGCTCCTGCCCTCCAGTTACACAGCTGGTTATGAGCAAGGAAGGTTTACAAAACCCGAGAGTGTCTCCCCCTGGGTCTCTATCAGGGCCCCCGTGGTCATCATTAACTGTTGGTTCAATCCAGTCTGGGGCTAGGGAATAACCTATTATTATGATGTTACAGAGATCTGCCTCTGTGGGTGACAGCCATGCAGTGCACAGGTGACCCCACCTAGAACACGCGGGCACCGGCGGGTGACGGGTGACAGGCCAGCCGCCCCTCACGGCACCATGTCCTTTGGTGGACCCTAAGCATCGCTGGTGGCCGACAGGGCGGGGTGGAGACCAGGGTCTGGCCGTCCTGGCACCAGGTATGCAGGCAATGTCGGCTCCATCATCTCCCCGGGTGGCTGAGCGACATGGATGACGGACGCCAGCGCCAGAAGCCACCAGAGAGCCTGACACCGCCAGGATCTGGGGTCTGGACTCGCTCAGGCCGGGGGTCTAAGTGGGGTCCTTAACTAGCAGCCCCGTGAGGACCTGGGCACCGCCGGAGGTACCCCCCCCGCCCTCTTGCAGCCTCAACTGTCCTGGGGGAGCTGGGGTACAACCGGCTCAAAGCACCCCCCGAGCTGCAGCGCCATCGCCCCATGGAGAGCAGGGCGCGGTTCTTGGGGTGGAGGGGCTGGCACCCAGGGGTGCACGGCCAGCCAGCTGGGATAAGAACGCCAAAGATTCTCAGCTCAGGTGGCCAGTCCCACGCTCAGGGCATCCGCTGGTCACTGCTGGAGACCAGGGCCAGGGTGCTGACTGCCGCCATCTACCCGTAATCCCACGCGCCAGTCACCCCATCTCAGAGGGACAGACCGCTGGTCAGCTGTGTGGCCAGGGCTGAAGGGAGAGGCTGTGAACCCCCTCTGGAACGTCTACCGGCTGTGGAGGGGTGGCATTCTCTCCGGAAATTTCTCCCAGATCTTAATGGCAGGCCCATGTATACACCTCTTCTGAGCACAGGGGGGTCCTGTGTGACATTTTGCCTCGGCTGCTGGGAAGCTCGGCGCTACCCTGTGTGCCCTTCAAACACCCGCAGGGTGCTCTGCCGTCCTTTACCTGTCCCCTCCCACCCTCCTGTCTGTCCTTCCCCCCACAGTCCTTTATCAAGAGAACCAGGCATCCACCTAACGCCTCCTGTGAGCTGTGATCCCGCGTGAGTTCCCCCAAGGTCTCCCCCTCTGTGGGGGCATGGAGGTGGTGCCAGAGCAAAACCCCGCTGTGGGGACCACAGTCACACAGCACGCAACCAACATAAGTTATTACTTTTATTATTATTATTATTATTGTTTTCACGTGCTCTCGTCACTCCTAGGAAGCAGACATAAATACCCCACCGTCATTGCCAGCACGTCCCCCCGGGCTCCCCCCTTCTCCAGCTCTGAGCCCACCCCACCGAGGAGTCGGCCTTGGTCAGCCTCCCCGCTCCCCGAGCTGGCCGGGCGGCTCCCGCGGGCGGCACGCTGCTGGGGCTCCCGCTCCGTCCTCTGCGCACCGTCCACCCACCTTGGCTGTCCAGGCCGAGGTCCATGACGCCGTGCTTCACCTTCATGTGCCGGCTCAGGTTGCCCTTGAGGTTGAACTTGCTGGAGCAGTAGGGGCACTTGAAGGGCTTGCTGCCAGCATGCAGGTGCATGTGGCCAAGCAGGTTGTACATGCGGTTGAAGGACTTCCCGCACACCTGGAACACAGCAGCTGTGAGCCCGCAGGACCCACCCCACTCCACCCCTCCTGTCTCCGGGGGCTTCCTCCTGGGGCCGAGCAAGTCCCTCTCCTTTACTTCGGTGTGCCAGTATGAGGACTTGAACTCAGGGTCTTGGACTCTTGCTTAGCTTTAGAGTTCAAAGCTGGTGCTCTGCCACATGAGCCACAACTCCACTTCCAGCTTTTTTTTTTTTTTTTGGGTCATTTGTGGGGCTTTAACTCAGGCCCCGGGCTTTTTTTGCTCAAGACCTTGAGCCACAGCACCAGTTCCAGTTTTCTGGTGGTTCACTGGAGATAAGACTATCATGGAGTCGGGCGCCTGTGGCTCACGCCTGTCATCCTAGCTACACAGGAGGCTGAGATCTGAGGATCGCAGTTCAAAACCAGCTGAGGCAGGAAAGTCCATGAGACTCTTACCTCCAATGAACCACCAGAAAACTGGAAGTGGCACTGTGGCTCAAGTGGTAGAGCACTTGCCTTGAGCTGAAGAGCTGAGGGACAGCGCCCAGGCCCAGAGTTCAAGACCCATGACTGACAAAAAAAAAGGCTGTCCTGGACTTTCTTGTCCAGGCTGGCTTTGAATGCTGATCCTTACATCTCAGCCGCCTGAGTAGCTGAAATGACAGGTATGAGCCATGGGCCCCAGGCCACTGAGACGTGGGTGGCCGCCCCCCTCCTCTCCCAGCGTGGGGTTAAAAAGCCCAGGACTCCCACATCACCACAGAGTCCCAGACCCGGGCCTCGGCAGTAGCGGTGGCACTGGGACTACTGCCTGAGTCCCCGAATCTCCACCAACACAACATCCGCAGCTTCTGCGCTGTGGACCTCACCCAGCCAGGCTGACCTGTCCACGCACCACCCCCCAGACAGGCAAGGCGTCCGCCGGGTACCTTGCACTTGAATGGCTTCACAGGCGAGTGTACAATCATGTGTGTCTTGAGGGTCTGCTTCTGCACGAAGGTCTTGAAGCAGATGTGGCACTGGTAGGGCCGGACGCTGGTGTGAATCAGCATGTGGCGCTTCATGTTGGCCTGGAGCGTGAACTCACGGCCGCACACCTCACACTTGAACTCCTTCACACCCTGGGGGGGGGGGGGGGGGGAATGACACACACGCCATCATGGTCAGGGCCTAGGATGTGTCTCTTTCTCGGGTGCTGCTGAGCACCGCCGGGAGAAGGCAGGCCATAAGTGGCCTCACCAACCTGCCACCAGCACCTGTGTACACTTAGGACTGTGCCCACGCCCAGAGACACACGTGTGTTCATGCACTCATGCACGCGTGGTTTTCCCCAGTGTTTCCTACATCTCTCGGTCCTTGGGCATCAGATCTATCTGACCCGTTCTGAAAGGAAAGATTGAGACAGAGGGACAAACAGAGCGTCCTCCCCACTTCTGCCCGGCCTCCCATCCAGAAAAGAGAAGATAGTCAGTGATTCTCAAACGGCGCTCTGTGGTCCTGCAGGCGTCCTATAAACATTTCATTCAAAAAAAAATTCTTGGTTGGGAATGTGGCTTAGCAGTAGAGTGCTTGCCTTGCATGCATAAAGCTTGGGTTCGATTCCTCAGTACCACATACACAGAAAAAGCCAGAAGTGACATTGTGGCTCAAGGGATGGAGTACCAGCCTTGAACAAAAGAAGCTCAGGGACAGTGCCCAGGCCCTGGTTCAAGCCCCAGGACTGAGGGTAAAAAAACTTAGTAAGTTCTCCTATTTTAAAAATCAATTAAAAAAAAAAAATCAATTTAGAGTTGGGTGCTGCTGGCTCACATCCGTAACCCTAGTTAACTCAGGAGGTTGAGATCTGAAGACTGGGGTTCAAAGTCAGCCTGGACAGGAAAGTCCATGAGACTCTTTATCATCAGTCACTCAAAAAAGCCTGAAGTGAAGCTGTGGCTCAAGTAGAGCGTTAGCTAACCATGAACAAAGAGCTCAGGAACAGCACCCAGGCCCTGAGTTTAAAGACGTGGCACACACACAATGCACGCATACACGCACACAGGGGACTAGAGGCGTGGTTCAGCCAAAGAGCACCTGCCTAGCAAGCACAAATTTAAACCCCATTACTAGCAACAAAACAATGAACCTGGTTCTAGAACTCGGGGCCTTGTGCTCTTGCTTGCCTTTTTTGTTGTTGTTGTTTTTTGCCTATCAGTGGGGCTTGAACTCAGGGCCAGAACGCCGTCCCTGAGCACTTGTGCTCAAGTCTACCACTCTACCACTTTGAGCCCCAACGTTACTACTAGTTTTCTGGTGGTTCATTGGAGGTTAAGAGTCTCTCGGACTTCCCTGCCCAGGATTGGCTTTGAACCCCAATCTTCAGATCTCAGCCACCCACGTAGCTAGGATGACAGGCGGGGGCCCTGGGTGCCAGCTGAAGAAAGCAGACACTCCCTTCTATTTTCTACTAGCGTGGTCCTGCAGCTAACCCCTGGGGGGACGATGCTGGGCGTGCGTTGTCACGGAGCGCCGGGCTTACCTTGTGGGTGAGGGAATGCTGCTTGAGATGGTGTACCTGGCTGAACTCCATGCCGCACTCGGTGCACACGAAGGGCCGCACGTTCTGGTGCTTGAGCACGTGGTTTTGCAGCTGGCTGCGGTAGTGGAAGGACTTGTCACACTCGAGGCACTGGTACAGCGTGGGGCCCTGGTGTGAGCCCAGGTGGCGCTTAAGCTGGGTGAGGGTGGAGAAGTCCAAGCCGCACTCCACGCACACGTGGCAGCGGCCGCTCTCGTGCTTCACCTCGTGGGCCTTGAGCTCGCTGGGGTAGGCGAAGCCGCGGCCGCAGAAGTGGCAGCTGTAGGGCTTCACCTCCGAGTGCAGCAGCATGTGGCGCTTGAGGTGGCTGGTCTGCGTGAAGGCCTTGTGGCACACCTGGCACTTGTGCGGCCGCGTGCCCTGGTGCGTGAGCAGGTGCGTCTGCAGGTGGCTGGGCTGCTTGAAGAGCTTGCTGCAGTGCGGGCAGGAGTGCGGCTTGATGCCGTTGTGGCCCAGGATGTGCGTGACCAGGTTGTACTTGGACGTGTACGACTTCTCGCACATGCGGCACTGCCAGCGCTTCTGCCGGTCGCCCGCCTCCACCAGGTAGCTGTCGTCGATCTGCACGTTGATGTCCAGCCGGTCCAGCTGCGCCTTCTTGTGCCGCTCGGCCGTCGAGCCGGCCGCATCCGCCTCGAACTCCCCGGCCTCCTGCCACACGAAGCCGGACTCCGGCTTCCCAGGCTCGGGGGACGCCAGGGCGGGGACCTCGGGGTCACCCAGCGGGGCCAGATGGGCCGGTGGGAACCCGCACTCGGCCGGCAAGGCCTCAGGCCCCGGCAGCGCCGCGCCGGGCTGCGGCTCGGGGAAGGGGGGCTCGAAGGGCGCGGCGTCCAGCTCGGGCCGGGGCGTGCGGGGCGCGGGCCGCAGCGGCCGCAGCTTGCGGCCGAAGGCGCTCAGGTCCATCATCCGCACCGCGCTGCTCTGCACCAGCGCCTCGCCCGCCGCCGCCTCGGCCACCGCCTCGGCCGCCGCACCCCCGTCCTTGTCCACCCCGGGCACCGACACCTCGTACACCTCCTGCTCCTCGTCCTCCTCCACCTTCTCGAACTTCACCTTGGGCACCAGGCGCACGGGCGGCCGCGTCTTCCGCCGCGTGTGCTTCTCGAAGGCGGCCTCCACCTCCAGCACCTCCTCTTCCACCGGCTCCTCCAGCGCGCGCCCGTTGCACGCCAGCTGGTAGATGTCAGGGCCCGGCGGCCCGGGGTCCCCCGTGGTGGCCCCGGACAGCTCGGGACCCAGGTCAGGGTAGAAGGCCTCGGCGCTTATGGTCGCCCCGAAGAGCTCATTCTCGGAGACCAGGCCCAGGACGGCAGCCTGAGCCAGCGAGAGCACCACCACCGCGTCCGTCTGTGTCCCTGAGTCCTTGAAGCGCTCCATCCCGCGGCGCCGCCTAGGAGGGCATCGCTGTGGGGAGAGAAGGGGACGCTGGTTACTGCCGCCAGGCCACGTCCCGAATCCCGGCCACTCAGGAGGCTGAGACCTGAGATGCCAAGCCAGCCCAGGCAGATAAACCAGAGACTCTGAAATCTCCAATGAACCAGCAAAAAGCTGCAAGTGGAACCATGGCTCGGAGGGTGGAGAGCCAGCCTTGAGTGAAAACGCCACGTGAGCTCAGAAGGCTGTGAGTTCAAACCCCTTCCGTACCAGCACAGAAAGAAGGAAAGAGGGAAGGGAAGAGAGGGACGAGGGGAGGGGAGGGGAGGGAAGTTCTATACAGCATGGACAGGACTGGCTATGCTGACCTGAGGTCTTTCTTTCCCTGCCGGGAGAGCCTGACACGAGTGTAATTACAGAGCTAACGGTATCTACCCATCTCCCTGTGGACTCCTGGATAAGCCCCGCCCCACTGGCCTGTCTTCCCATATGTCATTGGGGAGGTTGTACTTCTATGATTTGCCAACTGTACCCTGTAAGTCCTTCCAGAAGCCTTCAGAAACTGAACTCAGAAATGCAAAAACTGTCCAGTGCCAGTGGCTCACGCCTGTCATCCTAGCTACTCAGGAGGCTGAGATCTGAGGATCGCAATTCAAAGCCAGACCAGGCAGCCAAGTCCATGAGACTCTTATCTCCAATGAACCACCAGAAAACAGGAAGTGGCGCTGTGGCTCAAGGGGTAGAGCGCTGGCACTGAGCGGAAGAGCTGAGGGACAGCGCCCAGACCCAGACCCACGACCGACAAAAAAATAAATAAATAAAAATAAAAAAAGCAAAACCTAACAATGCCACTATGTGAAGAACCGGTCAAAAGCAGCATCAACTCAAACGTGACACAGACCACGTTCCACCCTGCAGTGGCCCTGCTGGCTCTGCCACCGGGGTAATTAATTTTACACAGCCCTCTAGACGACTGTGAGGTGTTAAACAACTGTCACCATTTGCGATAGCTCTGGCTGGAGAATGGCTTTTTATATATAGGATGAAAACAAGTCAACATACAAAAATAAATCTGGTCTCCAACATCGGCTGCCACCTCGTCAGCTCTGGTGCAAAACGCCTGTCTGTGGAGAAGACCGTTGCTTTTCTCCATTAAGGAAACATTACATAGTTAAGTATCTAAATTCGGCTGGGCGCCAGTAGTTTATACCTATACTCCTACCTACTCAGGGGGCCGAGGTCTAAGGATGATGCTTCGAAGCTAGCCAGGCCAGAAAAGTCCTTGAGCATCTTGAACCCAGGGCTTCATGCACGCTAGGCAAGCACTTTATCACTAAGCCACATTCCCAGCCCTCCTTGAGACACTAATCCCGAATTAGCTACCAAAAAAGCCGGAAATAGAGCCAAGCCTCAAGTAATGGAACACCAGCTCCAAGAATGGCACCCAAGGGGGAACACACACACACACACACACACACACACACACACACACACACACACACACACACACACATTCACGCTGATTAAAAATAGGAAGTGGCGCAGTGGCTCAAGTGGTAGAGCGCTCGCCTTGAGCAGAAGAGCTGAGAGACAGCGCCCAGGCCCAGAGAGTTCAAACCCCACGACCAACCAAAACAAACAAACAAACAAACAAACAAAAAAACCCTAGCTTCCAGGTTCAAAGTCAGTCTCTTATCTAACCAGTTCCTGTACACGAAGCCAAGCCACCCACCTGTCCTGGCACTGCGTGTCCTCCCTTCCTGGGCGCCAGCAGCCCAGGCATGCACCTGCTCAGCCAGCCCTGCGCACCTGTGCATAGCATACAGCATGCCCCCCCCCCTGCCCGCCCCGGGGTGCCAATCCCAGCTGAGCTGTTCCTTCCTGCGCCCACCAAGGCTTCCCGGGACTATGGTGCACCTCGGCGGGCCCGGGGCTGCCCCAGCAGAGGGAGGGCAATGCATGCACACCAGGGGCTTCACTCCCAGGGTTGGAGCCAGGCATGTGGGCAGCGGACAGCTCTTCCTCAGGAAACAGGCCCAGGCCCGGGGCTGTGGCCCCCCAGCGGAGCTTCCTCTTCCAGAGTCTATAAATACCCCAGACAGGAACTGTCTTGAGACAGACACTGGAGATTAAGCTTAGAGCAGCTCTGCACTGTGGGGTCATAAGCAGCGTGGCGGGACTGGGGTCCATCTGGAACACGGGGGGGGGAGGGGAGGGAGGAAGAGGGGTAGGGAGGGAAAGGGCAGGGGCTCAGGCCCTCTCCCCCACCAGCTGTGGGAAAGGACAGCTAACCAGGAGCAGCTTGGCCTCAAGCCCTAAGCTGTCCCAGATGGCTGTGCAGCCACTCTCCCGTGCCTCAGTTTCCCCTTCTAAACCTCCAGAGGGAAGATGTGATACTTGCAAGGTCAGCAGGTGATAGGATGCATTTCAACACCCTAAGCACGCACCGCCACCCAAGGCTGAGGTTTGGAGGATCTGGGTGTTGAGTATACAACACACACACACACACACACACACACACACACACACACACACACACACACACACACACACACACACACACACACACACACACACACACACACACACACGATGGTTTGTAGGATACAGAACTGAGAGATTTTTCTCAACCCCAGGCTCCAAGTTCAGGAAAACTCTGGTTATTCTGAGGGCCCTGCTAAGAACTGAGCGCTTTTTCCTTCATCTGTGCAAAAAGCATGGGCGAAGCTCCGGCAGCGGGGCGGGGACCGGGCTGCTTTGCCGACCCTCAGAGCCACGGAGGAGCCCACCGTGCCCAGCTGTGGCGGTGCCGGCAGGCAGCCACCCCACTTTCTCAGCAGGCTAGGGGTGTCCCCGCCCCGCTCCCGGCTGCCTGACACAGCACCCCGTTCCCCTGCGTCGCGTCCGCTGTGGTTTTGAGCCAGCAATGCACTTGGCACTTTCTCTAGACTTCCCCCAGGCAGGACCTGCTGATCTTGGCAAGGCGTACGCTAGGAAGTTGGCACTGTGTCTTAAGTTCAAATCCCAGTGGCTTATGGGTCACATGGTGGCCTCTGTGTTCCCCATTTCCCCCAGGGGTGGTGAGGAGATGGCCGGGAGGCCGGTGGTCACACAGTGCCGCCCGCCCGCACCCCCAGGAGGAAGATGCCACACAACGCAGTGGAGTGGGCCCCGGCCCAATGCCCCTAGCCGACTTCATGGCTCTGACCGGGCCTACTGGGCTCTCGGAGGCTGTCCCGGTCACTGGGGGCCAGCAGGAGCCCCCCCCCCCAGCGAGCCCAGCCTCCTCCTCTCACACTGACCACCTGGGGGAGGGCAACGCGTGCGTCTGGGCCTGTAGTCTCCAAGCACGGAGGAGCGGCTGGGCAGCGCCCCCTAGCGGGCCCGCCTCACCAGCACCAGCCTCTGGTTTACCCCTTCCCATGCCCAGGGCAGAGCGGCAGGAAAGCCCAGTGGGTGCAGCCCCCCGCCCCCAGCGGCACCTTCCCCCCAAGAGCAAGGACACAGAACAAAAGCCCCCCCATGTCCTAAATAGAGGGATTCAGAGGGCTCCGGCCTCGGACGGGGCATCCACTAGACGCAGCGGGGCCTTCGGCAGCGCTAACCTGGTCTCCACACAGCACCCGAGACAGCAAATGTCCAAGGCAGGGAGAAGAGACAGACAGTCAGACAGACAGACAGAGGGAAGGAGAAGCTGAATGTCGTTGTGCTGAGAGTTGGGGGAGGGAAGTCATGGAGAAGGGAGAGAGAGGAAGGAAGGAAAGAGAAAAAAGGGAGAGAGAAGGGGAGGGCGCACAGGAAGGAGAGCGTGGGGGAAGGGAAGAAATGAAGACACTAGGAAGGAGGGGTAGAGGAGGAGCCGCAGTGAGGGAGGAGGAGAGAGAGAAGAGAGGAGAGGAGAGGGAAAGGGGAAAGGAGGGAGAGAGGCAGGCTGTAGAGGCCAAGAAACAAAGCCCTGGAGGGGGAGGGGACCCGCTGTGGCACTGGGAGGTGGGGACAGGGACAGCCATTTCCCTCAGCTTGGCGTTGTCCCTGGGGAGGGAGGAACCTGTGACCCCTGAGACCCAGCAGCCCCTCCTCACCCCCAAGCAGCCCCCCCCCCAAGTTGCAGTGTTCTGCTCCCAGCCCTGTGACCCTGTGGCCCTGGGCCGGTGACTCAGTTTCCTCGTCTGCACAGGGCCTGGGCCCTGTCACTCCTCCCTGGCCTGAGACCCCTCCCACCCCATCGTGGAGGGAGGCAGGGCAGGCCAGCGGGCTCAGAACATCCGGGCACAGATGCTGAGCCCCCACAAAAGTCCGATCTGATTTGGGATTGGAAGGCCAAGAGCCATGTTGGAGAAAGAACTAACCAGAGCAACCTGGTTATGTGCAGATATTCTCCGACGAACTCTTACCACGAGTGCGGCATCTCAACAAACTAAAAGAACTGGGCATGGTGGTGCCCTCCTGTCATCCCAGCCCTGGGGAGGCTGAGGCAGGAGGAGTTAAAGAGGCCAGCCTGGTTTCCAAACACTAATCAACTGAGCGCTGGTGGTTCCCTGCTGAGATCTGAGGATCCCAGTTCGCTGCCAGCCCAGGCAGGAAAGCCTACGAGACTCATCTCCAATTAACTACCGAAAAGCCAGACGCGGAAATGCAGCTCAAGTTGGTAGAGGTCCAGCTTTGAATGAAAAGAAGCTAAAGGACAGAGCCCAGGTCCCGAGTTCAAGCCCCAGTACAAGCTCAAAAAAACAACCACCAAGAAATACACACAAACCGATCCCAGACACAGGGGCTCGGGCTCAGGGCTCGGGTTCCTGTGACGGCGGCTTTGCTTCGGCTCCAGAGGACGCCCACTCCTGTGGCTGGCCTGAGCACTGACGGGGACTGGTTTGCCCTGGGCCTGTTCATCCGGTTCCTTCCTTTCCACTCCCGCAACTGAGTCTGATGCCAACGCCTTAATTGAGCGCCTACTAGGTGTCAGCTAGCGCACCCAGCGAAGCTCAAACCTGGGGCAGCTGGCCAACGGGGGGGCAGCAGACTGCCATGACTGGGTAGTCCAGGCTATCCCAGCTGTGCGGCTGGGGTGGGGAGGCTCTGGGTCCTTGTTCCCCTGGGGCTAGGGAGGAGCAGCAGAACCCAGACTTCACCGGGAAGTGAAACCTGGCTGGCGTTTCCCCACAGTCCTCTCCCGGCCCCACAGGTAACCCCCCCACCCCCCCTCCACCAGAGGAAGAGGAAGGGAAAGCCGAATGCTGGGGCCTTGTGCAAGGCCTCCAGCTCCCGCCAGCCCTGGATTCTCTCTCTGCCTCAGCTTCCCCTTTTCTCTGTAGAGAGATTCGCTGAGCCCCAACTCCTGCCACCAACCCACAAGCCCCACGAGGCGGCTGCTGGTCTTGTCTAACCCTCTTTTCCTCTCTTCAGAGACTGATGGGTTCTCCACCCCCCTCCTCCACTTCCTTTTCCTGACCAGTTCCTCCCCCTGCACACACGCAGGGTGAGGGACAGCAGGCCTCCTGTTTCTGGAAGATTCCTTGTCTTTCCTCCAATTCCAGAAGGAAAAAAGAAAACTCTTCCTCCAACAAAGGTGATGGGGTGAACTCCAAAGTCACCAAGTTCACATCACAGAACACCAAGCAAGCCAACCACAGCCGCCACAAACCCAGAGTGGGCTTCACAAGTTCCAGGGCCACAGATAAGAATCTCCAGAGAAGGAAGTCTGCGAGCATGCGTACTTCCCTTCAGACCTAAGGGCTCACCCGTGTGGAAACTGAGGCAGGCACCCCGCAGGCTGGGTGCGGGGCCCTGCCCCCTCGGCGTTCTTGGTGGGATTTCGGTTCCCCTTCTCCCCCTCCTCACCCCGTGCCTGGACTCCTCCCTCCCGGAGCCCTGCCTTCTCCATCCTGTCTTCCTCTCCCTGTTCCTCCCCTCTTCCGTTTCCATGGCAACCCCATCCTTCGCTCTGCCATTCGGTGGAGCATTCCGGCATCTCTCTCCTTCCATCTCTCCTCCGGTGCAGGGGGAGTCCAACCCTCCCCCTCCCACACTTTGCTTCCTGCCTCTCCCTCCTTCCACTTCCCTCTGGTCCCCTCCAGAGTCCTCTCTTGTGGCCTCAGGACATTTACTCATCTCTTGCTTAAAGAAAAAAGGAAGGAAGGGAAACCCCACCCCTCACCCCGGCCCCTCCAGTGCGGTCCTCGGGACAGGAAGGATCACGGGAGGTAGGGGTTGGAGGACAGGGTCCATGGGGGGAAGAGGCACCCTAGAGGGAGGGACCCCTGCTCCCCCCAGAAGCTGCGCCCCACCCAGGATGGAGCAGTGGCAGGATGCCCACCGAGGTGTGGTCAGCCAGGCCCCAAACACCCCAGGAGGCGGGGGGAGGGGGAGGGGAGGGGGGAGGGGCAGAGCGGGGAGTGCCCAGTGAGAAGGGAAGCCTAGAGCCCACGGCTGGCTGCCACGGCCCTAGCCACAGGACCAGCCACACTCTTCCTCACTGCCCCACCCCCGCCGGGCCCCCGGGTCTCACAGTGACCGTGGATGGGCTGTGGATGCCCCACAGGTAGTGTGACACTCTGGCCCAACCCACCCCAGGACACAGTGAGCCCGGGCCCTGGGCCCCAGGCCCCCAGAGTGATCAGGACACCACACTTCCCCTGAAAGGCAGGCCCGGCCTCTGGGAAGCCGGAGGAGGAAGAAGCCAGGACGGCCCCTCCGGGCGGCCACTGTGAGCAGGACTTCCTCACACAGCCCCCCAGACCGCAGCAGGAAGACACTGCACACACCGAGCCCCTCCCCTAGGCCGGCCGTATACGGAGCCTAGCAGCTTACTAACAAAGGGCATTTTACAGAGGAGGAAACTGAGGCTCAGAGGTACTGAGGGGCTTGGCCAAGTTTCCCAATATGTCAGAGCATAAGTGAAAACTGAGTCTAACCGCATGTTCACTTTAAGTTCAAGGTGGTGAGTCAGGCATTGGCGGTTCACACCTGTAACTACTGTGAGAAGATTAAGATACTAGGATACACCACACACACACACACACACACACACACACACACACACACACACACACACACACACACAATGCGGTTGATGGAGGTGTGGCAACAGTAGCAGTGTCAGATGAACAAGTATAAGGCCTTGAATTCGAATCCTAGTACTGGCAAGACAAACAAGAATAAAAAATAGCCAGGCACCAGTGGCTCACACCTGTCATCCTAGCTGCTCAGGAGGCTGAGATCTGAAGATTGTGGTTCAAAGCCAACCTGGTCAGGAATGTCTGTGAGACTCTTATCTCCAATAAACCATCAGAAAACCAGAAGTGGTGCTGTGGCTCAAGTGGTAGAACGCTCACCTTGAGCTGAAGAGCTGAGGGACAGCGCCCAGGCCCAGAGTTCAAGCCCCACGATGGACTGGAGAAAAAAAATAAAAGGGAAGGGAAATAACACAAATGGTGAGCTCTGGAGAGAAGGCTAGACACAGTAGGGCTGAAGCGCACAGTAGGGCCCCAGGGAAAGGGCCACACTAGGACATCAGCATCCATCTGCTCTCAGGCCCAGAAGATGGCCAACCTCAGAACCCCACTCTTAGGTTGAGACGAGATTAAGAGGCACACACACCAGCGCAAAGCATCAGGCAGGAAATTCATGGGGTGCCACAAAGTACAGAATAACTCTGTTTAAACAAAAAAAAAAAAGGCCCAGGTTCAAGCTTGGAGATGGAAGGGGCCGATGACCAGAGCAGCAAGAAGGCGGGGTGCCAAGGGCGGAGGCCGGCCTCCCCTCCCACAGCCGGCCTCCATGCCCGCAGAGACCCGGGCAGCGCCACCTCCCCGCCCACCCCCGAAGCCGGTGCCTGCCGTGATCAGCATTTATTCTGCAGAATGATGCCAGGCTCAGAGTAACACAGCTTCTCCTCCATTCACGTACGGCCTGGGCGGCCGGGGGAGGGAGGAACGGCTGGCTGGTTGGCTGGCTGGCTGGCTGGCCGGCTTGGCTGAGTGTACACACGCAGACGTCACACGCACGTGAGTGGAGCACAAGTCCACCTACCCACACCTGACCGCACAGTCCAGCCGGGAGGGACTGGCATGTAGAGAGGCCGTCCCAGGAGGCACAGGAGGAGGAGGCCTGGGGCGAGGCATCCTTGATCACAGAGGCCGAGGTGCTGGACCGACGGGAGGTGCAGGCAGGCTCCGGGCAGGTCCTGAGCCTGTGTCCAGGACAACCCGATTCTCACTCAGGGACCACGATGGTGAGCAGCACAGTGGGTGGGGGCTCTGGGCCATGGTGCCCAGATCTGACGCAGACGCAGGTGACCTGAAGCCAGCGTGACTCCAGCAGATACGACACCAATAAAACAAGACCCCAGCGTTCCCTAGCGGCTGTGAGGGGGTCCTCCAGGCCCTGCCACTCAGGAGATCTGCAGGCTCAAGTTCCAATACCAGCCCTCTCTGAAAAGTCCCAGACTCCAAGCTCGAAAGTGACTGACCAAAGGCTGGGCTGGAGGATAGGCCACAGCTAGCATGAAGCCACAAGTTCAAACCCCAGTACCACACACACGCACACACACGCGCGCGCGCGCGCACACACACACACACACACACACACACGAAACAAGCAACTCTCCCACCCCCAACAGCTGCTTCTCCAAGAAGGCCAGAGAAGACTCAGATACTAACGAGGAGCCAGGTACCAGGGTGTAACTGCATCTGAGACAGGACCACTCCTAGCTTGATTCGTTTCTCCTCCAGTTCTGAGACTGGCCCTCTACCAGCTGAGCTGTGCCTCCAACCCTGTTCCCGGCTCTCACCACTGCAGCGCGTGCATGCACACCAGACACACCACGGGCCCAGGATGAGCACGAGGAAACACATCAACTTGACCGGGTTCAAGGAAAGAACAAGAGGCTGGGCATGAACCTCAGTCCGCAGGAAACTCCAACTCCAGTGCTCAGCCCTCAGGAGAGCTCCTGGGGGCTGGGGTCACAGGGGACGGAGCAGGGGACCAACAGATGGCCCTGGGCCAGGGGGCTGAGTGAGAAAACCTCATCGCTTACCTCAGATCTCACAACCCCTGCAGGTGCAAAGCCCTAAAGACCACGCTGCCTGGTGAACTACAAAACCCAGCATGCCCCCCTCCACACAGGCATGCGCCTCTTCCTGGAATCACCGCCCCCCCCTCGACAAAGAGCTCAGATAGTCAGGATGAAGGACAGGAAACGAGTGACAGTCATACCCCAAACCAAAGAAGGCCCATTGCGGTTTACAGACTTTTACAGAAGAACCTTCCTAGAAGATTCTGGGCAGCGTGTGTACAGACAAAGCCCGCATGCCAGCGGGGCAGACTGGCCCACCGCCCTGAGAGGGGCTACGCCGGCCCCGGGCAAACGCATGACCTCATCTAACCCTCACCCAAGCCCACGGCGCCCACGGCTGGTTCACAGCAATACCCTTGGGGACCAACTTATTTCTGGACCTTTCTGAGGTCCAGGAAGGTAGAGGAAGCCTTCAGAATATGGCTGCTCAAAGCATGCTCTGGAGGTAACTACTTCCAGACAGAGGACAGCCGGTGGCTCATACCTGCTCTTCAAGAGGCTGAGATCTGAGGATCGAGGTTCAAAGCCAGCCCGCGCAGGTAAGTCACTGAGACTCGTATCTCCAATAAACGAGCAAAAAAGCTAGAGGTGGCGCTGTGACTCAAGTGGTAGAGCACTAGCCTCAAGCAAAAAAGCTGTGGGACAGGGCCCATGCCTTGGCTCAAAAAAAAAAAATTGTCCAATATAACGATGACAACAGGGGACATCCAAGCAGGTGACAAGTAAGGTACCACCTGTAACCTACGAACACAGTGGCCTCTGCCTGCACCATTCCATCCACAGCGCATCATTCCCTTGTTACTCAGATGGCTGCACCTGTTCCATTTCCTTCCTT